AGAGAGAGAGAGAGAGAGAGAGAGAGAGAGAGAGAGAGAGAGAGAGAGAGAGAGAGAGAGAGAGAGAGAGAGAGAGAGTGTGTTGGTCATGTACCTCTATGAATGCATCACGCATCATGTTTGTTTTTGCGGGCGAAGCTGCAACAGGTCATCTAGTTGGTTTCTGAGTGCCTGTGTGAGTGCATGTCTGCCTGAGTGTGTGTGTCGCTTGCCAGGGCATTGTTTGCTGGTACTTACCTGTGGCCGTGACTTTTGAGGGATGCAGTGAGAAAACACTCAAGTGGTCGGAGGGGTAGCTTAGGGCCACTTGGTAGGCCTAGCGGAAGAAGACGAAGTGAGGATTTTTAGAGGCCGAGCAACTGGTTGGCCTAGGTAGGCGAGTACCAGTCCCAAGTAGCCCGAGTCTAGGGCTTGTGTGGATGATATGAGACCTGTAATGATGTTTCCCTCTGAAAGGAGGAGGGAACTGGTTGCTTCGAAGCCCGAGCGGCCAGGAAGTCACCGCCCAAGAGGCAAGCGGCCTCAGTATATCTGGAGTCCGAGCGAGAGGCTCAGCCTCATTTGCGAAGTGGAAGTTTGGGAGGGCACTGGTTCTCAGAGCACCACTTGAGGAGGAAGTGGAGGCCATGGCTATGGTGGACCTCTTGTTATGCTGGCAGTAAGGGAGGGATTCGGCTCTGGCTCGACCATTCATTGTTATTATTAATATCTATTGACGAGTACGAGGGGGGAGATAAGGAGGAGTTGGTTGGTGGGGAATTTGTCATTGGTTGATTGCTGCAAAAATTACTGTGACTCTCACTCCAACGGAACATACAAAGATTACTGCGACTTTCACTCCGACGGAACATACAAAGATTACTGGGACTCTCACTCTGACGGAGGAGGATACCAGATCTCTCTTTGCCATATTCGCTTGTGATGCATTTTGCAGGGACTCAGAGTGAGTCACTCGCTCGAAGTCCTCGCTCTCGAGGGGGGTTAGTGTAATGACCTGCAAAACCATGATTGAGAACTGTGCTGATATCTGAGTTTTTCCTGTGGAATGTGTGTTTGCTGAGAATTCCCGGTTTTGCTGAGATTCTAAGTCCGTGCTTGAGCGTGTTTGTTGATTTCTGAGTGCCTGTGTGAGTGCACGTCTCCCTGAGTGTGTGTGTGGCGCGCCAGGGCACTTGCGTGTTTGAGAGGCCGGGGGGGCGGTACCTGTGGCCGTGACTTTAATGGTTGCAGCAAGTAAACAGTCCAAAAGTGGTAGGAGGGGTAGCTTAGGGTCACTCGAGTAGCAGGTAGGCTAGGCTGGTAGCACTCAAGTAGCGGAAGGCCTAGCAGAAGAAGACAAGAAGCTAGGGTTTTTAGAGGCCGAGCAACCATTAGGCCTAGGTAGGCGGGCACCAGTCCAAGTAGTCTGAGTCTAGGTTCTTCGCAGACGATATGAGGCCTGCAATGATGTTTCCTTCCGAAAGGAGGAGGGAACCGGTTGCTTGGGAGGCCGAGCGGCCAGGAGGTCACTGCCCAAGAGGCTCAGCCTTATTTGCGGTGTGCAAGTTTGGGCGTCATGCTGCTTGAGCAGGCGCTGATTCTTAGAGCACCACTGGGAGGAGGAAAGAGGAGCTGGGCACTCAGCTGGGCTATGGCGAGCTGCCCAGCCTGAAGAGGAGGAAGAAGGGGGCGAAGGAGGAGAGTGGTGAGGCACTTACTGGGCTATGGACTTCTTCAACTCGTTAGGCGCTGCATCTGGAAGGCCCCAGTCGGGGTAGCGCTGCACCAAGAAGACTTCAAGGCAGAGTCGGGCCCTTAGTAGTCTGTCATGGCCATTCCCTGCCCATAGTGGAGGAAGGTGGAGGCCATGGCTATGGTGGACCTCTTGTTATTATTATTATTTATTGATGAATGTGAGAGGGGGAGATAGGGAGGAGTTGGTTGGCAAGAGTAGGGGATTCTGTCGTTGGTTGATTGCTGGTGTACATCTGTTGTCTTCTTCCTCTCATTTGTTTCAAGTCCGTTCATTTCTTTTGCAATTGGGCGCATTGTATTTCCTTGTAAATGTGCATTTTGGTATTGGCCAGGATTGTAAGAGCTGTATTGTTTGAATCGTTTACGTTGTTTACAAGGCGCATCTTGAAGGCTGCACTCCAGCGGCACAGTGAGTCTTTGTTCGTAAACGTGAATGCAGTCTCAAAATTGGCTAGGTTCCATGGTTGTGCGCATTGTGTATGTGATGATAGCAGTGCATCATTACATCTCATTTGCTGGTGACATCTTGGCGGTCGGCTGTTGCAGTACTACGTCCGGGCATAGCAAACGTGAATGCAGTCTCAAAGCTGGCTAGGTTCGTGCTGTGACTTAGCCCAAGCTGGTCTAAGGCCATGCTACATATGTAGCCACAAAAATAGCATAAGCTGTTGAGGATTGTGTGCTTTATGAAATGATCAGTACATCCGAGCCTCTCTTGTACGAGGCGCATTCCCCTACACACCAGCTGGCACCAGCTGGCACCACCTGTTCCAGCACTACGTCCTGCATAGCAAACGTGAACGTGGTCTCAAAGTTTGCAAGGTTCATGCTGTGACTTGGCCCAAGCGGGTCCAAGGTCACGCTACATATGTAGCACAAAGATAGCATAAGCTGTTGAGTACTCTGTGCTTTATTAAGCGATCAGTACAGCCGAGCCTCTCTTGTACGAGGCAGATTCCCCACACACCAAGCTTGGCCAACACGCCAGTGTCATTTTTTTTTCTTTTGGCTGACACTGTCGGCCATTTTGGTCCGGTAGCCCTGAGCCTCCGTTCTTTTCAGAATGAGCCGATTTTGATTCTCAAGTTTGCCCTGGACATCAAGCTTTGCCAAATGGCAGCGCGCCTTTTTCTTTTCTTTTGGCTGACACTGCCAGCCATTTTTGTCCGGTAGCCCTGACTTCTGAGCCTCCGTATTTCTCGAAATGAGCCGATTTCGATTCTCAAGTTTGCCTGGGCCATGTACTTGTATGAGAGAAATGTATGCACAACGAGTTCTATCATGTGTTCTTTCTTAGAAACTTTGAGGTCCATGGCAGCCGCTCTTTTATCCAATGATCAGCTAACTCTTGAGAAGGCCTTTTGCAATTGCGATTGTGTGATTGCTTTTTTTTTTGTTTTTCAAAAAATTTGTAGATTTATTTGTGACATCCCTGCTCAGCGGCCATGGTAATCTTCTCTGTGTTGTTCCACCTTTAACGGGTGCCGCAAAGGACGTAAGTGTGCGATTTCTGTTTGATCTAGAGACGGATGCCCCGAAGGTCGCAAGTGTTTGATTTCTGTTTGATTTAGAGATTTGTAATGTAGAGTGTTTGAAGAATCCGTTACAGCTGAGTCAGTTGCTATTGCGGATTAGCAATGGCTGTAATTTTGGTGTGCTGCCCTGACTGTCATGCCACAGGTCCAGGCCCCAGGGGAGGGCTATGTTTGTGTTCACAAAAGCTATGTTTCTGCTTAGAAAGCATGATGCTCATTTGTGAAAATGCACAGGTTCGTCCTTTTTTCTTCGAGCGAGCATACGATCGGTAGGGCCTGCCTGGCGCTTAACGTAATGTACAGGGGGTGATGCATTTGCTGTTCTTGGTGCATCCAGGACTCTCCATACTCTGTACCTCTGAGGGTATTCCTGTGTGTGGCAAGGTCATATTAGCACAATGCTTCGTTTGCATGTAGTGCTCGGATGATATGGGCACATTGCTTTCGTTTGCATGTAGTACTCTGCAGTATATATTGTTGTGTTGTATCCATGTGCATGTGCATATGTTGTCGAGAAGCAGTGGAGAGGGAGCTACTGTCAAGCCAATGCGTACTCTACTCTAGGACATCATGCAAGTCAACTATCTATACACAACAAATAGACGCTCGGGCTTGAACCGATGACTTATACACACAACATCATTGTGAATGGATGGAAAATATCCAGTGATGGTGAAATCAACTCTCGGATCTCTCAACCGTAATGGGGAGAAGCGTTGGAGTGTGTAATCCCTGTATCTTACGAGATTTGCCGGTGGAATAGGAACCGGATGGACGCTCCCCAGAATGGACAAGGAGCAAGAACCACAGGGTTCTGTTTGTTTGTTTGTTGGTTTGTTTGTTTTTAAGCATGCATGGCCATTGCTTTGTGGTCACATACACTTTTTGTCAAGGATGAGGGAGCTGGTTTGATGCATGAAGTGCCGGCAGGACTTCCTGTCTGCAGGGGAAAGGTCTTGTGCTTCCGTCTTCATCTGAATAGAACGTACGGTCACCATTCCTGTATCTAGACTCTTATAAGGTTTCGCCAAGTGCAGCTGTAATGGTCGTATGTTCTATATCCGGGTGAAGACGGTAGTACCTGGTCTGGGTTGTTTTCGTTTTGGGGGAGAATTTTGCTTTTTTTTCCTTATTTACACTGGACTGACTGGAGGGGAAATCGGAGTTCCTGTGGCTAGACGGAAGGCTGACGTCTTTGTTTGTGGCATGTGTGTGCTCTTCTTTCCTTTTTTTTCTTCTTTGTGCGTTGTGCGCCATTCTCTAATCATCTCGTTGTCCTTGGCAGATGAGAAATTGGGAGCCAGATTCAAAAGCTGCGAGGCTGTCTTGTAGAGTGCCTTCGAACCCGCCAGTGAATGCGCAGAGTGTTGCAGCTCTTCCTCTGGGAGAGAAAGACGCCTTGGATTTTGGCAGGCTTCTCGGTGGGGGGAGAGGTTCATCGCGGAGTGCTGCTGATCTAGGGTTCAAAACTGCGATGGACGCATTTGGATTTTACAGGGAGGCGGTGCCTAGGGAACAGCGAGAAGATGGAGTGGCTCAGGGGGCTGCAGTCATGGGCGTAGAGGACTGGAATGCGGGAAGAAAAGGTGTGGGGGGTCTCCTGATGCCTGGGATGGGGGCCGGCATGGCTATGAGGGGGGGGGTATCGAGTCAAGACAACAATGGAGGGGGAGTGATGATAGGCGAACCGAGAGAGTGGACGGAACGGCGGGACAGGGCAAGAAGACGAGCAGCCCCCGATGGGATTGGGGATGGAGGCGCTGCAGCCGCTCCTGAGGGGCATGATGTCCATGACAGCGGGGGAGGAGTGGGGAAGGGGGTGCGAGGAGAGGCAGGGGCTAGGGGTTGGGGTGGTGCTGAGGACGGTGGCGGCTCTGGGCGAGGGTTGCTCCAGAGCGGGGGAGGAATTCCGCAATGCCCTGTGTGTATGCTGTTTTTCGAGCAGTCAGCTACGAACGATGAAATCAACTCTCATGTAGATGAGGTAATAGCTTCCTCCTGCTCAAGAAACAGACAGAGGGGTTGATTTCTGCTCCCATCAAAGGAATTGGTCTTGCTTGCTTCGCTTGTGGCTCTGCTCCTTGTGGTTTGATTGATTAGACTGGTCTGGAAACCACACAACAAAAGATTATGCCCGCTTGCCCTAGCCAACGGTGATGGGTTTTATCTGAGGGCATACTCACCGGGACTTTTCTGGTTGTATCGGATCGCAAAAAGGGACCATCCTGAATGCATCAGACTGCAATTACGTCCAAAGCTCACGCGGAAAAGTCCTAGTGTGAGTATGCGGCTACGTTAGGCGCTGAATGATGTTGTGTTTTATTGGCTTGATTTTACATTGATAATTGTTGAGGGCATGTTGCAATTGGTTCTCTGTTTTGTTGACTTGATTCCATATTCATAAATTCATAATTGCTGATTGCCCTGCGGTTATCCTTTCTTTCTCACAATCTGTTTCCTTAGACCTTGTTTCTTCTAGGAAGTTTTGCCCGACCGGCCAGGCCTTGCTGGCTGGGCACCTGGGTGTCATGCCCAGGCAGGTCCTGCGCCCAGGTTACCCGCACATGGGAAAAAGTCAATCCTTGCGGCGCATCCCATGCGTGGGGGTGCCGCACACATGCGGCTCAGAGCGCTCGTGCATGCACGCGCGCGCACGTGATGCGGCGCATCAAAAAATAAATAAAAGAAAATTGAAAGGACAGTGTGGGGTGGCCAAACATCCCCTCACTTCTAAAAATCAGAAAGCAAGAGGGGGGTGAGTCGGGACCACGGCATACCCCAAAACTGTGGGCACATGTCTATGCATTCAAATTTCAAACTCATACTTTGCAAGTGTGGGCAGAGAATATGTAGTCTGGATTCGAATTCAGGTCTGTGCATCTCGGTTATGGGTCACTGTTTCTCTTTTCTTCTCGTTTTTCTTTTCGTTTCTCGTTTTCTTTTTCTTTTCTCGTTTTTCTTTTCTTAGGAATACGTGCAGTGGTCCTAAGGGCCTTCACTCACCAAATGCACAAAAGACAAAACATATGGCGGCGTATTATTCCACTTTCTGCAGAAGAGCCGTTCTAATTTTGCACATTTCGTGAGTAGTGCAGCCAAGCCCTGAGACTCACGTGCAGAGACCAACAGGGCCTAGCTACGTGAGCAACCCATAACTGCTGAAACACACACCTGAATTAGAATCTTGAGTATATATTTGACCAGCTCGTGCTCTACTTTATATTCACTGCCTGCCTCGTTTTTGGTGGAGGGTCTGCGCTACATTGCTGCGAGGACCCTTCAGATATAGCCTGCATGGGC